GGACGTAAGGTGGCTACCACCAGAAACTGGGCTGCCATTCTTATTTACTTATATTTGACATGCATGAGAGAGAACCCTCTCCCCAGTGCGTGGATCATGTGTACTTCCTGTGCTGGGTAGTGCCTGTTGTATTTCAGCTTCATTCTTGCCCTTCTCTCCTCTCAACCATCTTGCTGAGAGCCTAGACTCCCCTGTCACCCAGCTTTCCATTAGATGATGTCATCATGGGAGGCATTACCATGAGGTTGGAAGATGAGAGGAAGGGAGAATACCTCTTTGTTTCCTGGCTTCTGGTGGTGTCTTGGGAGGTGGCTGGTGAACCCAGTCCTTGGATCCAGTTGGGAGATTCGACTTCTCCACTGGCGGCAGCAGCCACGGACACTTGGGGGTCTTTCCAGATACAGTGATCATGGGCTCTGTGTAATCCCATTTTCCTCTTTGCTTCTCTAGTCCAGGAGAGCTACAATCTTGTGGTAAACTTACTGTCTCCTTTTTACTCCTTCTACCATTCAACAGCCTTGTAACTAATTTTACGAGTTTAAACAATATTAAATTCCCTTACTTTAGATACGTATAGTGGTTTTGTTTTCTTTGTTGGACACTGTAAAACTTGAATTAGATTAGATCAATTTACATCAGATGTGCCCTCCTGGATGAAAAAAACATCTTCATGTTCCCCGAATGAATTTTAGACCATTATGGACCCAATTCCCTGGAACAGTTTCCTCTAAGTCACATGGGATGCATGGAGAAGAGGTAGATACCTAAATAAAGTCTTGTTGCCATTTGCAGCACTACAGTATATGGTGTTGTACAAGGTCGAGTATCTAGGGTTGGGCTTGGAACCAAGTGTGTTTGCTGCCAGTCTGTGCCACGGTGTCTACCTGCACATGTCTGGAAGGCAGATTGGGTCACTGGGTCTGGGAGTGCAAGCCCTAGGTGTTGAGGTGGTTAGATCTCACAAGCGAGTGTTTCACTAAGGATGTAGGAGTTACAGACAAAATCTACTTTTATCCATTCTTTTCCGCTCTCTGGACTGCCCAATTTTTGTCTTGTGTGTGTGTGCAAGCTCGTTGTTCTTCATCGTTAACTCATGCAGGAGCTTGCAGACCTGTCATCAGCAGCAACAGTTTCTCCACTGCCATTAAAGTTATGCTGAACAAAAGATACATTGCTTAATAATGCTCAGATTCTTTATTTTGCTACATGACATAGTATTGATCAAGTCCAGGGTCGGCCACAGTCACATCGACTTTTTTCAATGTTCCTGCTAATTTACTGCAGAATCCAAACTGAAGATATAGCATTTGGCTGCAATTACAATCTGTCACTTAATATTTTTCTTTTCCAATATTGAACAGACTTAGTGTATCTTCTGCTGTGTTTAAAGACATTCTAAATCAAGGACAGAATCCAGAGTATTTTTCACAGAACTATTCTTAGTGGCAAATTCTGGATTTCAAGGGCTACCCACATAGGACTATCTCCCACATACCCCTCCAATAAATTTCTTCATTAGACTTCTTTTCTTTGTCTTCCTTCCCTCCCTGCCTCCCTCCCTGCCTCCCTCGCTCCCTCCCCTTCTCCTTTTCTCCCTCCCTCCCTTCCTCCCACCCTTCCTTACTTCCTTCTCACTGGAATTCCTGAACGGTTACATGAAATTTAAATAGCTTATCACATAAATTTTACTTATTTCCTGAAGAGCATCTCATTTTATATGCACTGTATAAAATGCATATTTATACAGTTGATTTGAGGATGGGATCTGGGAAGAGGTGATGGTGTAAAGAGCAAATCCTCTCATGGGGTGTTACAGTAATAGCTGATCAACTTTATACAACTCCCTCAGGCAGAACAATTGACTTTTCTGTTCTCCTACAGCAGCGAGCATTCTCTTAGCCTTTCTAATTCAGATCTAGAGGGTTGTAGGGGTGATAAAGAGTATCAACAAGCAGCAATTTCAAGGAGGTCCAGTTTGTATCTCTTCCGCAGAAATGAACATGGTGGTGTTTTTGTGTATGGAGCAGAAGCAAGGGAGGTGAGGTGCCACAGAGGCATGAATAGTATGGCTGGGATATTTCTGGGCCATTGGAGTCACCAAGATCACTGGGGCTGATTCAGGTCCTAACTAGCCAGGACAGGGTCCTAGGGCCTGGAAGCTTCTGAGGAGTATGGACCTCATCCCCAGCACATGCATGGGTGCTTTAAGGTGACCCCATCTAAGCAAACATCATCTATGGGTCACTCAATTCTTATGGCTTGCAGCACCTGGGAAGGTGTGCTGTTACTTAAGAACCTGTCTTACTACCCAGGTTAACAACACATTTCAAGACTAGAGCATGTTGCAAAACATTTCTTTGTTTTTTGGAGGGGTTCACGTCAGGCCAAGTTGAGTCAGCCTTAGAAAGGTGCCTGGAAATCTCTTTTTCTGTTGTCTCCTGCTCTTATCCTGCCCTTCTCCTGGGGAAGCTGCTTCCATCCTCCAGGTGCCAACAACAGGTAAGTCCAGTAGATTTTTACAGCCCTTTATGGGTGTCTTCTTAGGTGTTTAGACTCTTTGGAGAAGCACATTTACAAGACACATAAACCTTTCTGTTCCTGGTATTAATCATTTCTCATAAATATCTATGATGCTTGTTATGATCAAATACCTGCTTCCTATAAGAGATGAGAGTTGGGAGGAACAAGGTGGGAAAAGGGAAGGGGAACCCTCATCTTGCCACACGCCATAGAGGTCCATAGGCTAAGACCTTGGGCAGCTCTGGGGCAACATCTAGTTGTTTTGATACCCACGGGGAGGAAACTGAGAAGATGAAAGATGCATGAAGTCTAACTCTGAGTGGGGGACGAGGCATGCTGTTAGTGGGAGTGTATGTGGGGTCCACACTGTGGGCAGTTGTATGTGATTGTAGTGACACAGCTCCCTCCACCTACCCATTTGTGCATCTTTTAGTTGCTGGAAGCAGTTATGCTCTTATCTATAGTGAGTATCCTTTCTGCTTTTTAAAATGCTTGGGTTTTCTTTCTATGAATTTCCATTAACATGCATCTTTAGGAAGAGAAAGAACTGCTTTATTCATATGGAGTCATTTATACAATATAAACTGAAGTTCAGAGCCTTTTATGAGGTACATAAATATAACCAGAGACTGAAAAGCATTGGGAGCATCTACTAAATGTAATATGTTATTTTTCGTGGCAGCAATATTATTTTAAATACAAATTCTATGGAAAGTGAATATCAGAATTTGTTAGTTAATACCTATAAATCCATTTAAGCTGCTCAGATAAATGGATAATCTAAAGAGTTACAGTTAGAAAGGCTGACACGGGTTTGAGCTTGGCAACATAAAACCTTCATCCCTTGGCCTTTTCCCACAGCGTTCTGCAGGCAAACACTGGCTCATTTGAAGTTCTGACCTTCAAGATTTCAAAAGTAGGAGCTGAGATGCAGAAGACATATGTCTCTTGAAATGTGTTTCTTTTTAGTCTGACGCTCAAAAGAAAAAATATGTTGATTAATTTGATGGTCATGCACACAAAAGTACACTTTTCCCTGCGAGGCAGTACAATCATGAGGGTTGGGAGTGCAGGCTCTGGAGCCAGACTTCCTGGGTTCACATCCCTCACCTGCCACTTGCCAGCTGTGTGATCTTCAGCAGGTCACTTAACCTCTCCATGCTTCAATTTTCATCCTTCGATAGCTTGGATATCTGGATGGCAATGTGCCAAATCACACGCCTTTCCTACCAAACACCTTGTTAATTAAGAGTGCTTAACATGTGCCAAGTACTTAAGCAATGCCTTCATAATTGGTCAGCGTTCTCCTTTGAAAACTGGCACTAACCACTTGGCCTCACAGCAATAAGATTTCCTGGAAAGCCAGAGAAAGGTTATGGAATGGAAAGAAAGCAAGAGGGCCCGGTCTGGGCCAGGAGTTGAGGATGCCGTCGAGGCAGGCAGCAGTAGCCATGCCTAGGTCACTCTTGGGACTGTTCTGGCGCTCAGATTGCCCGAGCAACGGGGATGCATCTGACTTCTGAACATTCCTCCTGTTCTGTCAACTCCCAAGGTTCAGAGTCCTGGAGACAAGGATATTTGACTAAGTTTCTGGCATAGCTCTTCTTGCCCTCCTCCCCACACTGTATCAGGAGTGGGTAAAAGATATATCTGATCCCCTTGGTTTCCGTAACAGGAGGTGGCAAGGGAAAGTAGGCACTGGGATCTGTCTTCTTGCCAAGATTACATAAAATGGAGAATTCCATCCGTAGGAACATGTGGTGCTTAGAGTGGAGGTGTGTGGATTCTGGGCGGTCAAAAAAAAAAAAAATCACAAATCTTTGCTAAACTTGTATAAGACTTTAAATTTCTCTCAATAGCCCCACGAGCAGTGTTGTGCTGGTTAATGTAACAACTGCCTGCCTGGTCCTGATTTGTAGCATTTGTCCATTTTCTCAAGGCAAACCCACTCATCATAGCTAATTTCAAGCTACCAACACGACAGCACTGAACACAGCTGGGAAGAGATGCGCAGTAACATACCACTATGCAGCATCTTCACCACACAGCTACAACACATGGAATTAACCTCAAGTGCACAGACAGCAGTGAAATGTAGTACGTGGTTTTTGCCTTTGTACCAAACTAATAAAATAATTAGAAAGTAATGAGTTTTGAGTATTAATTACCTTTGTTGTTAACATAATTGTAGCTTTATATAATTTTACTTTTAATAATAGCTGGAATTTAATAACTGGTTTACAAAATTTAACAATCAGCTCCTGTGAGTCATTATGAGCCAGCTCCAGCATACCACTGCCTTGAAGTGGATCAATATAATGTTATTGAGAGAGAGACAAAGAGAAAATGAAAAAAAAGATTCTTTTCGTTTATGCACTAAGATGCTTGGTGGAGAGGCCTAGGGCCTGGAAATTTTGTTCAGTAGCTTGTAGCATTGGGGGCCCTTGGTAAAAGAATAATAACAGCATCTGACGTTTATATAGCAAAACACATTTTTATTTAACATTTGCTCATTTTTGAGCCTCACAACAAATCCAAGGGAAAGATAAGCAAGGCATGTCACAGAGGAGGGGACTGAGAGTCATTAAGCAAAAGTGACCCCTGACAGGTAGAGCTGACACTAGAATCAGGTCCATGAGACTTGCAGTTCACACACTGTTTTCATACCATCCTGTCTCTTTGAACCCCTGTCATCTCTGGAGCAGCCACTTATTACAGTCAGGTATGTTGTCAGGCCTCATCCTCAGAATTCAGTCCAGGAGGCAATTCCGCATCTTCATAAACAAAGAATAAAATAAAGTTAGGCCTACAAATGGGCAATGATAACTGGCTGTATTAGCAGCTGTCATAGCTGACTCCAAGACCGGCCCCAGCGATCCTCACTCCTTGGCGTTCATATTCTTGGACTCCTACACTGAATAGGGCTGACCTGTGTGACCAGTAGGATAGTGACCGCACATGACTTCTGAAGCTAGTGGGAAAGAGCACTGCAGCCTCTGCTTTGTTTTCTTTCATCACTTGTTCTGGGGGAAGCCCGCAGCTGTGTTGGAAGCACCTATGGAAGGGAACTGAGGCCTCCCACCAACAACCAGCCCTACCTGGCAGCCAGCGAGTGAACCATCCTGGAAGCGGATCCTCCACCTCCACACAAGCATTCAGCTGAAGGCAGACCTGGCTGACATCTGAACGGAGCCTTATGAGTAACCCCACACCAGAATCACCCAGCCAGTGCTCCTACATTTCGGACCCACAGAAACTGTGAGCGATGATCAATGTTTATGTTGTTTGAAGCCACTACATTTGGGTTTAATTTGTTGCGCAGTAATAGATACACTGAACAGCTTTCAAAGCTGCGCAATATGGGCTTCGGGTCACGTCAACTAGATACAGAAAGGCTTTAGGGACTCAAGAAACACTTTGAGTAAACTTGTTTTCCTCCTTTCACCAAAGAAACTGAATTTGAGGCCAATATTTGAAAACTTTGTGCTATATAACTACCGAAATACATTGTATTCTCAATGCCTTTCCAAATGACCTGTTGTCCATAGAAAAGTACATTCAACATTGAATGCATCTGCTACTCTGAAGAGCAAGTCAGCTCGAACAGGAATTCACTCAGACATCTCATAGCACGAAATCATCTCATAGCCTTTCAGACCCCGTCTTCACTGTCACCTTTCATTCTTTTGGGTCTCTGGGCCATGGCAACCCCTGTCTTTTCGGAAAGCAGGAACGGAGGGATATAACGAAAGAAATGAATTCGGAAGACAGGGGGCTAGGGACCCTACTGGATGTTGGGGGGGAACTTTTAAATCATTTGCAAAACACCAGTCCCGACCTCCCCTGGGAGACTGAGCTGTTACCTCTTCTGGCGTCCCTGCCCGCGGAAGTTCGCTCCTAGGGAAGTCGCTCGCGTCCTCGAGAGCACCTGAAAGGATCTCAGCGAAGCGGAAGGCTCTGGTGCCAGCGGGGAGAGTCGGCGCCGGATTTCCTCAGCTTCTTGGCGCGTTTCCTCGGAGCCGGGGGAGGCAGAGCACGGACCCCGGAGTCGGCGCCCAAAGCGGCACGGCCTCGCGAGGGGCGGGAGTGCGGGGAGGTGGGTGTGCGGGCGGCGCGCTCGCCCTGCAGTTGCAGCCCGTGCCGAGCGCGCACGGCAAGCGAGCGCCGGCGCCTCCAGCATGGAGTGGGAACTCAACTTGCTGCTCTACCTGGCGCTCTTCTTCTTCCTGCTCTTCTTACTTTTCCTCCTGCTCTTCGTGGTCATCAAGCAACTGAAGAACTCCGTGGCCAACACAGCCGGGGCGCTCCAGCCCGGGCGCCTCTCGGTGCACCGCGAGCCTTGGGGCTTCTCCCGAGAGCAAGCGGTGTGACCCGAGTGCGGGCACTGGCGGGAGGGCACCGAACTGCGCGGGCCCTGGGCTGGGTCTCCGCCTCAATTCTCCGTCTTCGTGGCCTCCCAGTTTCCAGGTGCGGGGCTCGGCGGCTCTGACGGGTCGGTTCCGGCGTGAGGCGCAGGTACCCGCGTCTCCGCTCCTGTGGGAGGCCCGGGGCTCGCAGAGCGTTCGGGTGCCAGGGACGGTGGGTGTATGGGGTCTGGGCTGGCGCTTTGCTCTTCGGGAGGGACCCCAAGTTGTTCCAGGGCTGGGAGAGATGGCGAAAAGAGAATTCGCCCCTAGGAGCCGGAGTGACTTTGGACAACAGCAAGCTCTTTTCGGTTCAACTACATTTTAGTTATACCCAAGGAGTGGAAAAGTAAATTATTCGGGTAATTCAGTTTAGCTATTTTCGAACAAAATCGAAGGTTAACCTGAATATCCACATTTTTGAGAAAGAGTGTGTGGGCTTTGGGACAGGTGGCAGGAGGAAACAGCGCACTTGAAGTATTTTAAAAATTGCTTTAAACATTTTTGCGCTTTGAGAGATGGTAAATGGAGTTCGTCTGGTGGTGCTGGGGTGGGGCGTGGGGGAGGGAAGATTCAGTCGCCCATTTGGGGGGAGGAATCCCTTCCTCCCGGTGTTCCTTACTTATATTCTAGCCACCAACCACAGTTAGTGTCTGCGGATTGCAGTGCAGGGTAGGTTTGGAATCTGGGACAGCGGATGGTGAACGTTACAGTGAGAGTCATTTGAAAGATGCCTTAGGGTTCGCCGGTACGTGACCTTTTGGGTGATGGCCTGGAAAGCCAGCTAAAAGAGGTACTGTTTGCATAGCGTAGGGAAACAGGAAAAAGGACGGAGAGGCGGGTCTGTAGTTTCAGTTTAAATTACTAGAACTTTTGCAGAAGATGGGCGGGCAGGAGCAAACTTGAGTACCAGTATGCCCTAAGTACCCTCTCGGTAATGTTAGTTTGGGAAATATCTTCATCCTTCGGAAGCTTTTCCCTAGATTTATGTCGTCTCTCTTTCTAGAGCCGAGCTGCTGCCCTTGACTGGTGCATAGAGGACCACAGCTGCAATGACAGTTTGGGCCTGCAAAAAGAAGGCTGGAACAACGGGAGATGGAAGCTTTCTGCAAATGGTAGGTTGGGATGGCACATGGTTTCACGTTGGCCTTAGTTATGACTAAACTTCTAAAGATCCAGGGCCTAAAAACATGTAGGTTCAGGATGGGGGAAATGGGTACAAGGAAGGAAAGGGCTCTCTCCCACTCAAATCTGGTGAGCTTCTACCAGAACTACAAAGCCAAACTGACTCCTAACTCATTTCGAAAATCAGTGTCTCAGTAGAGGATTGTGGAAATTTGACTGAGATGTCAGGAGTGTTTGCACTTTTAATAATCATTCTGCTCTTTTGAAAAACAGTGCGGGGGTTCACGGGATGAAATATGTGATGCAGATAGACTCTGTCTTCAGTAAGGGAGGATTTGGGTTAGTCATGTCAGTGTGGGATAAGCTAAGTCATAACTATAGTATTGAAAATACTAATTTTAGACACAAAGAAAGACCATATAGAGAGGCTAAAAAAATGAAATACTAAAGTTTGCCTAAGTTGATAATATAAAAGTGAAGTGTAAGACAATTATTTTAATGCTTTAAAGGAAAAATAGTCTCAGGCGAATAATTTTGGCCCAAGACATCAGATAATTTCCCACTTTCTATTTCACTCTCCCCAAATAGGCCCGTTCTTAATAAGTAAGTGGTTTACTTTAATTATTATGGTATGAGCAAATTCTCACCTCTTTATCAGAGTTATGGTAAGACTTGATTTGAATTCCCAGTTTGAATTCCCTGAATCAACTGCAGTGATTCTGTATTGTGCTTTGAACAATAGTTCTCTAATTGGTTGATATCTCCGCAGTGGCATTTAGTTAAAGGGTTGTATGGTTAATACGGACATTGAAGATGAGTGTGGGAGTAATTAATTAGCAATGAGAGTTTATGTAAGGATTGAAAACAATCATTTCACACTTTAGAATAACCAGAATGGAAATTATTTTAACCACATGCTTGGCTTCTTGAGTTTGCAATCCTTTAATCTTCCTAGCACCACCACTGGTATCCATGAGTTTAACCTGCCCATCATTCTTCCTAGACAGGAGACTATTGAAAAGTCAGGGTGACTAGTTTATTACCATCTGAGTATTAATCCAATCTCTCAGCTGGTTCTACTGACTCATGTTCCTAAGAAAGCAGTGGTGCCTTTCTATCTTGTGTCCAGGGTCATTTTATTACTTCCTTGTAATCAAATTCATTAATGACCAAGTTCCCATTTATCCAGGCCACAATGAATATTTATTCCTATTACTCAACCTCTGCTTGGAACTTGACTCTAAGCTCTGGGAATTAAGGTAACTCACATTTGCTCTTAGATCTTGCTGCTGTTGATCTCCTGCCCTGCCCTTGCTTTGTTAGAGGCTCTGCTTTTGAAACTTTGACACCTGTAGATGAGCTGTCTTTTGCTATTTATTTAATTATTCAATCATCATTTTTCCAAGACCTGACATAGACCGACCTCCCAAATTAGGACTACTTTCAAACTCACATTTTTGCCTACCTTAATGCATTTTTGACTTAGATCAAATACTCTGACACCCACAATGATCTAGGTTTCAGGCTTCTACATGTTGGCTACTCCATCCCTTGACCACCCCCTGTTCTGACAGTCGCTATGGGCCAAGTCTATTTTTAAAGACTGTGTAAGTATGAGACAGACATTAAAGCACTTGAAAAGTCAAGAATATTTAAAATAACTGCTTATTATATAAATGTAACTTCATTATAGAAGATTCCTATGTTTTATTTTCAATAAAAAGGTTTTTAGTGATTCTTCAGCAATGTTAGAAGGTGACTTGAGTTTCTTACATTATAAGGAAATGAGCCATAATTCTATTATGTAATATTTGTATTTTATTTCAAATATTATTATTTCATCATTGTTTCTAAATTTCAGGTGTTTAAAATGGCTTCAGATCTTATCAAGACAATCTTGGTTGTTGCATTAGTTTCCAAACTTGTAAGTGCAATGGATCTGCAGTTCTACTTGGCAAGATAACCATTTTAAGTTGAATGAGAATGACATCACACTCACACCTGCAAAATCTAAAATGTCTAATAAAGTAGATTCCTATGTCTGAACTTCAATTTTAGGGCACAGCTGTAGATGCAGAACTGATGCCATCTGGTGTGATTCTACAGAATAAGAGAGAAAATTTACCCAGAGTGTGCCATGCACTGGCTTTTCTGGGAATGGCAAGGTGCCAGGATTTGTTTTTGGTTCGCTTGCAGGGGTGGAAACTTGGAACTAGGTGAGTAAAAAATATGAAATACTCTATTTTTAGTTTGACATTCTATATTTCCAGTTTTGTCTATAGTTTCAAAATCAGTGCAATGGAGTTAAATTTTAAATGACCAAAATTTTAAAGTTTGTAAATGGTTAAACCATTTAGAATAGTGGGAAATGTTTGTTTTTTTCTAAGTCACATTTACTAATCTAGAGACTGGTAGAATACTAAAGATACTAATGTAATACATAAGGTATCTACACAGTGCTGTACTTTGTTTTTAATTTTAGCAGCTACTCCGAGATATTTGTGCATATTTAAGCTAAATCCACAATTAAAACTCTAGGATCATTAGAATGTCACTGTCAGGTGTCTGTGTCACATACAAGGGAAGGTTAAGAATTGAGTTGTAAATCTTTGATGTAGTTTTTTTTTGTTTGAATCAGTGAAATACATTTCTCAGTCCTCCACTTTTTATTTTGTCTACACAAAATAAATAATGTTATGGGTTAATAATGATCTGATTAAGTATCTGACTCATGAGCATCTTTCCATACAGAAAGCTGGATTATCAGAAGGGCATTTAGACCCAGTAATCAGAACCTAATAAGCATGCAGGAAAAGCTTTCTGATGGATTAAGGTTAAAAAAAAACCTTCTTATTTTCCTTAATAGTAGCCACTTTGTATAATGAACCCAAACATTTCTGCCATTCATGGTCTGTATAGACAGATCCTAAAGACATGGGTGGGTTTGAGCTAAAACCTTTATCTGTGACTTTTGTTTTGTTAGTATGACTCTGAAGTTACTTGAATTTATTGAATAGGTACAGATTCTTCAAGCAAGATGTCTTTTCCTTTCAGATGAAAATCACACTTTCCTATTGGGAATCAAGATGAATTTTTATCTTGATAATGGAATAGGAAGTTTTGGACTGAAGAGCGGCTTAAACAAATTAGAGGGTTTGTTCTTTTCTCATAGAACAAGGAGGTTAGAGGCAGGCAGCTGCTGGTGTTGGTTCAGCAGTTCACGGGTGTCAGGCTTAATTAAGGTGGCTGCTGAGGTTCCTTTGGCTTTTTCCTCCAGGTTCCAAGATGGTCCCTGCAGCTGCCCACAAGAAGGAGGAGGAAGCCCACAGAGGAAACAGGGCATGCCAGTTCGAATCCACTTCCTTTTTAAGAGCTTCCTCAGCAGGCCAATAACTTTTGCCTTCATCTCATTGGCCAGAACTGTGTCATTGGCTACTGCTATCGGCAAGATTGTCTGAGAAATGTAGTTTTCGTAGCTGGATATATAACTGCCTTTGACAAAAATCCATTTTCTCTTGATGAGGAAGAAGATGGTGGTGGATCTTGGGAGGACAACTAACATTTTATGCCCTGGCTACAAAATACAGTTGCAGAGGAGCATAAAGTTCAAAAAGATCAAAACTCTAGTTCCTTCACAACTGTCAAAGCTCCAAGC